AGGAGCTCGGACATTCGGGAGGGGCTCGGAGTAGAACCGCTGCTCCTCCGGATCGAAAGGAGCCAGTTGAGGTGGTTTGGGCATCTGGTCAGGATGCCTCCTGGACGCCTCCCTGGGGAGGTGTTTCGGGCATGTCCTGCCGGCAGGAGGCCCCCGGGTCGACCCAGGACACGTTGGAGAGGTTACATCTCCAATCTGGTCCGGGAACGCCTTGGGGTCCTGCCGGAGGAGCTGGTGGAGGTGGCCGGGGAGAGGACGGTCTGGAGCTCCCTAGTTGGGATGCTGCCCCCGCGACCTGGACCCGGATAAGCGGAGGAAGACGACGATGACGACAACTAGAAATGTCAAAAGTATTTTCCTTGACAAAGTATAACAAGAAATAAGAAACATTGTAAAAAACTGTGGAAGCAAAAGATCAAGTGATTGTGATGACTTAGACATGGTGACTGTAAAAGCTATAATCAATAATAATAATAATAATAATAATAATATTAATGTTAATAATAATATAATTAATCAAATCTGTTATTGAACCATTCACTTACATCTGTAATTTGTGACTATCTACAGGAATCTTCCCTGATTTAATGAAAATTGCCAAGGTGGTTCTACTATTTAAGAGTGGTGATTAACAGAATTTCCCTAAATATAGGCCGGTGTCACTGCTTCCACAGTTTTCCAAAATGTTAGAAAAAGTGTTTGCATCAAGGTTGGATAAATTCATTGACAAAAATAAAATTTTAAACCATGAACAGTATGGCTTTAGGACCAAACATTCAACAGCAATGGCAGTTATGGATTTAGTAGATAAAATATCATCAGCAATAGACACTAAAAACTATTTCATTAGTGTTTTTATTGACTTACAGAAGGCATTTAATGTCATTGATTATTCAAGGTTACTTCTTAAATTACACTGGTATAGAATAAGAAGTCTGGCTCATCAGTGGGTTAATAGTTATTTAGACAATCGGAAACAGTTTGTTCAAATAAATGATGCCGGATCTCAATTGAAAGATATTCATTATGGAGTGCCACAAGGGTCGGTCCTCGGACCTAAACCGTTCATATTGTTTATTAATGACCTTGTGAAAGTATCTCATCTACTTGGTACAGTTTTATTTGCAGGAGTTAAGTGCTCGCCCCATGATTGGAAGGTTGCAGGTTCGAGTCCAGCTCAGTCTGTCACCTTGTCCTTGGGCAAGACACTTAACCCACTTTGCCTGCAGGTGGTGGTCGGAGGGACCGGTGGCGCCAGTGCTCGGCAGCTTCACCTCTGTCAGTGCGCCCCAGGGTAGCTGTGGCTACATGGTAGCTCATCCCCATCAGTGTGTGAATGTGTGTGTGAATGGGTGAATGACTGGTTGTGTTGTAAAGCACCTTGGGGGGTTCCAGGACTCTAGAAGGCGCTATATCAAATACAGACCATTTACCATTCCTGTAAATGGTGTAAGACTGTGGAACGCCCTTAACAGAAAAATTAAAGAATCAAACTCACAAGATGTATTTTAAAAATGTATAAAATCAAATGTATTAAGTAATTATGAAAAGGTAAATTAAAATGTCAAAGATTATATATGAAAAGTAGAAGGTGACTGAGGTTAACGTGTATGTTTTACGGATCATTTTGGTTTGTAAAAAGGGGAAGAAATTAAGATTTTTTTTCTATTTGTTCCTTTTCATTCAAATATTTTTTTTCATTATGTTTACTGTAAATCCTCTAATACAGGCCCGGGCCTGTATTTGACTCAAGCTCATCAAGCTCCAGGCCTTTATTGGAAGGAGGGCCAGTATTAGAGGCAGGCCTCTATTTCTAATTGAGCAAAATGAACTAATGGTTCGCTGGAGTTTTTGACAATTAAAATTGCGCCCACATTTTCAAAGTTAAACACATTTCTTTTAACAACGGTAGTTTCTGCTTCAGCCCTCTCCCCCCTCCCCCTGCTTCAGCCCTCTCCCCCCTCCCCCTGCTTCAGCCCTCTCCCCCCTCCCCCTGCTTCAGCCCTCTCCCCCCTCCCCCTGCGCAGCGGCTGCAAACTCACTGATGCGCCTGCAGCCTCTCGGAGTTCCTGCTGCTCTAAACATTAAAATAATTATTTCATTTTCTGTTCCTCACTTCTGATTACCTTCAATGGTGTCTGTTTGTTGCAACCAGCAGGTACAAAAACTAACTTGTTTTTATTTGACTATTTTTCTGTCCTGTCTGTTTATTATCTTCCTGCATCTCCTCTCAATCCTAAAGAAAAACTGCTACCTGGGTTCATATATATTCACCTCATGAGTTACCTTTGAACTGCAGTTCTAAAAGATCTACCGACCGCTAAAACAGCGGAGCGCTCGCTGTTTGGCGGCCGTATCAGTGATCAGTGCGTCGGAGGACAAGGTGATGCGCGCAGCGCCCCGCTCCACAGCATGCAGCGAAACGCATCAGGCGCAAATAAAAGACAGAAAACATTAAAGGAAATGAACTGACATGAACGATCGCGTGTTAAATTAGTTTTTGAGGTGGTGACACCTGATTGTTACTGTGGCCGTGCTCAGGAGGCAGATCTACCGACCGCGAAAACAGCGGAGCGCTCCCCGCACAGTGATCTGTGCGTCGGAGGACAAGTTGATGCGCCCCGCTCCACAGCAGCGAAACACATCAGGCGCAAATAAAAGACAGAAAACATTAAAGGAAATGAACCAACATGAACGATCGCGTGTCAGTAGCTACGGTCTGGCACAGCGCGTTGCCCCCCCCCACCCCCCGAGCGCAGGAGCTTGTCACCTGCTGACAGCAGGCTGCTGTCTTTTCCGAGGACTGCACCTTGCCGGTCATTATCACGTGACAGCGACTAGTCGACGACAGGCATAACAAGTCACTATAGTGAAGTTGACTAGTTCATACACCCCCTACTGCTGCTCTCCAGAGTGTTCTGCAGCATAATCAGCACGTTCTCTTTGAACTTGATAGTGTAATGACCTGGCTGGGGTTGTAAGCCAGGTGCATTCTGGGTATTGTGTTATATGTGTTTCCTATCGTTCTGCTAGTTCCTATGTGCTGATTTGCGTGTTGTGTGAGTGTTATGTAAGCCACAGGGAAGGTGATGCGTGTTCTGTGGAGCGGGTTGAATTAGCATGGTTAACTGACACCGTGACTCTGTGTGGTAGGAGCGTGATAGAAGATCGTGTCTGTAGCGTTACAAAGCGTTGAAGAAAACGCCTAATAAAGGTCTGCGTGAACCTCTACTGCCTCCTGCTGGTTGATTTGGGGACTATAACCCTGCCGCTGGGACGCTCATACTTGTTTGTCACCACATCCCACCCGGCCACAATAAGAGACCGGCCATTATTTACCTCCGCTGACTCCGACACCGGCCAAAATTGGAGACCCGGCCTTTAATTGAATACCGGCCTGTATTAGAGGATTTACGGTATGTCACATATATTCAAAAGCTACATCAAAACATATATTAAAACCTATATGTTTATATGAATTCTTTCCATGTGGGTTTTCAGTTGCTTAATATTTCCTATGTTTACCTATGGTAAAGAAAGGAGATATTGTACTCGTCTAACTTTAACATAAATTTTGGCAGCTTAATGTGACGTTATGGAAAATGCCATCATCATGAGCAACCAAACATAGGCTATATTAGGCTAACAGTTGTCTATATTCTGTACCATTTATCCACCAATGGCTGTTTCAGTTATTGTGAGTGAAAACTAAATGGCATAGTAGCATTTGTTCTGGCATTAGAAATTGAAAATGTTTTTCAATGTGTTGGCTAGATGGATATACGAAGATTTTTTTAAGAGAGTGAGTGAGGAACAGGAGAGAGACCAGGTGGTTGATGCTGAGGAGATCTGCATCGTCAAGGTCAGTGATCTACAGAGAAAACAGGGGTGAGCGCATCGTTATGAGCATTTACCTGAGCACACAGTTCCCAAGCAAAACTGAACAGTTTTCTATTTAGGAGTGAACAGGTAAACTATAATTATCATCTGACCTGCAACCTTATGTCAAGTTGTATCTGTATAGTTGACTTTCTGTATTATAAGTTCTACTACTTGCTGGATATTTTTATATATACTGTTATTTTGTCTTGTAATAGTTAATTACATACTCCTTTATTCCATATCATAGCAGTGTCATTCATATATTAAAACTGTCAACTGTACACTCATTTGGCAGAATAAAAGTTTGACAGTTATTCATTTGTTCTTTATTAGTTATTCATCAGTTCTTCAGACTGAAAACCAAAGGGGACAGGGCCTTTCAGACTATTGCACCCAGACTTTGGAACAGTCTACCTTCAAATCTCCGTCTCTCTAACACTGTAGAGGTCTTTAAAGATCATCTAAAAACTCACCTTTTCATCCAGGCGTTCCCTCCCTAAATGTTTCAGAATGATGGCTTTGTTCGGGTTCACACCTTCACTTTGTTTATAGTCATGATTTTATTTTCTACTTTATCACTGCTATGGTTTTTTCTGATGTTTTTATTGGTTAGAGGTATTTGCCCTGATCTTTATCATGTTGTACAGCGCTTTGTGATTTATATCTGAGAAAGGCGCTATATAAATAAACTTTTACTTACTTACTCACTTACTTACTTCATTGTCACATTTCAGTAACATTTATAATTAAACAAGTTGTAAATTAAATAAATGACTACAACATTTCCCCCTGTTAAGTGCAGTAGACTGAAATGAATAGCTTTATTTGGAAATATAACATATCTAATATTTAATGGACTCACATAAAATTTTTCTTCAAAATAGACCCCACTGATGAACTGATTAAGTGTTATTTTTTATAAAAAGAAGAGAGAAAATGCACAAAGGTAGGAAAGGAAAAGAAAGTGATAAAATCAAATCAAAGCTTTATTTATAATAATATATTAATAATACTAATATAATAATATATATTTATAATATAAAATAATAGGTTTTGTTAAATGTTCTTCATATAATGAATTAACTGACAAAGTTTTTGCAGGGTGTGACAAAAAACGTTCAAGGTCAAGCTCCTGGGGCTAAGCCCCCCCATATCTCAATCCTAGTGACGTCCATGGATGACAGCGTTGGTTTTTTCCTGTAGAACCAAGCTGCGCAGTTGCAGCTGCGCAGTCTGACCAGCAGGAGGAGCTGCGCAGCGCTGATCCCCGACAACAGGAAACAGCGAAGAAGAAACCAAACCGGAAGCTGTTTAAAGCATTTCGGCGCCGCTTTTAGCTCCAGTCGGGTTCGAAAAAAACCCGAACCACAGACCCGGAACCGGACCTCTGCTGACCGGGACACCGGACTCGGTACAGACGGTTCCGAGTCCGGAAAGATGGACTCCGCCCTGCAGCTGTTCCTGGACCGGTTCGGACCCAGCAGTGAAGCGGTCAGTCTCAGGTGTTCAAGGCATCACGTGACGTTTATTTACATTCACCTGAGCGTTCTTACGTGTCACAGCGTTAACACACACACACACACACACACACACACACGCACACACACACACCATCTGACCAGCCGTGTGTGTGTGTGTGTGTGTGTGTGTGTGTGTGTGTGTGTGTGTGTGTGTGTGTGTGTGTGTGTGTGTGTGTGTGTGTGTGTGTGTGTGTGTGTGTGTGTGTGTGTAGGAGTCTGAGTGGCTGAAGAGCTTCTTCACCTTCATCTGTCATCACCTGTGTCCTGGTACCTGTGACCCCGCCCCTTCTGCTGGTGACCAGCCATCACCAGGTGACCTACTCAGTCAGATCTTTAGTGGTGTTCTGCTTGTTGTCTCTGCTGGTTCTACACCTGGGTTTCTTCTGTCTGGTCCCCTAAAACTTACCTTATTCAGTCATTCAGGTGTTCCACGTCCCACAGGTGGTAGGACCTGCTAAAGTAGCAGTTTACAGTAGTTTACAGCCTCTGTTACCATGGAGACAGACACAGGTGGGTGTACAGCCCCTGTTACCATGGAGACAGACACAGGTGGGTGTACAGCCTCTGTTACCATGGAGACAGACGCAGGTGGGTGTACAGCCCCTGTTACCATGGAGACAGACGCAGGTGGGTGTACAGCCTCTGTTACCATGGAGACAGACGCAGGTGGGTGTACAGCCCCTGTTACCATGGAGACAGACGCAGGTGGGTGTACAGCCCCTGTTACCATGGAGACAGACACAGGTGGGTGTACAGCCTCTGTTACCATGGAGACAGACGCAGGTGGGTGTACAGCCCCTGTTACCATGGAGACAGACACAGGTGGGTGTACAGCCCCTGTTACCATGGAGACAGACACAGGTGGGTGTACAGCCTCTGTTACCATGGAGACAGACACAGGTGGGTGTACAGCCCCTGTTACCATGGAGACAGACACAGGTGGGTGTACAGCCTCTGTTACCTTGGAGACAGATACAGGTGGGTGTACAGCCCCTGTTACCATGGAGACAGACACAGGTGGGTGTACAGCCTCTGTTACCTTGGAGACAGATACAGGTGGGTGTACAGCCCCTGTTACCATGGAGACAGACACAGGTGGGTGTACAGCCTCTGTTACCATGGAGACAGACACAGGTGGGTGTACAGCCCCTGTTACCATGGAGACAGATACAGGTGGGTGTACAGCCTCTGTTACCTTGGAGACAGATACAGGTGGGTGTACAGCCCCTGTTACCATGGAGACAGACACAGGTGGGTGTACAGCCTCTGTTACCATGGAGACAGACACAGGTGGGTGTACAGCCCCTGTTACCATGGAGACAGACACAGGTGGGTGTACAGCCTCTGTTACCATGGAGACAGACGCAGGTGGGTGTACAGCCTCTGTTACCATGGAGACAGACACAGGTGGGTGTACAGCCTCTGTTACCATGGAGACAGACACAGGTGGGTGTACAGCCCCTGTTACCATGGAGACAGACACAGGTGGGTGTACAGCCTCTGTTACCTTGGAGACAGATACAGGTGGGTGTACAGCCTCTGTTACCTTGGAGACAGATACAGGTGGGTGTACAGCCTCTGTTACCATGGAGACAGACACAGGTGGGTGTACAGCCCCTGTTACCTTGGAGACAGATACAGGTGGGTGTACAGCCCCTGTTACCATGGAGACAGACACAGGTGGGTGTACAGCCTCTGTTACCATGGAGACAGACACAGGTGGGTGTACAGCCCCTGTTACCATGGAGACAGACACAGGTGGGTGTACAGCCTCTGTTACCATGGAGACAGACACAGGTGGGTGTACAGCCCCTGTTACCATGGAGACAGACGCAGGTGGGTGTACAGCCTCTGTTACCTTGGAGACAGACACAGGTGGGTGTACAGCCCTCTGTTACCATGGAGACAGACGCAGGTGGGTGTACAGCCTCTGTTACCTTGGAGACAGATACAGGTGGGTGTACAGCCCCTGTTACCATGGAGACAGATACAGGTGGGTGTACAGCCTCTGTTACCATGGAGACAGACACAGGTGGGTGTACAGCCTCTGTTACCTTGGAGACAGATACAGGTGGGTGTACAGCCCCTGTTACCATGGAGACAGACACAGGTGGGTGTACAGCCTCTGTTACCATGGAGACAGACACAGGTGGGTGTACAGCCCCTGTTACCATGGAGACAGACACAGGTGGGTGTACAGCCTCTGTTACCATGGAGACAGACACAGGTGGGTGTACAGCCCCTGTTACCATGGAGACAGACACAGGTGGGTGTACAGCCTCTGTTACCTTGGAGACAGATACAGGTGGGTGTACAGCCCCTGTTACCATGGAGACAGACACAGGTGGGTGTACAGCCTCTGTTACCATGGAGACAGACACAGGTGGGTGTACAGCCCCTGTTACCATGGAGACAGATACAGGTGGGTGTACAGCCTCTGTTACCATGGAGACAGACACAGGTGGGTGTACAGCCCCTGTTACCATGGAGACAGACACAGGTGGGTGTACAGCCTCTGTTACCATGGAGACAGACACAGGTGGGTGTACAGCCCCTGTTACCATGGAGACAGACACAGGTGGGTGTACAGCCCCTGTTACCATGGAGACAGACACAGGTGGGTGTACAGCCCCTGTTACCATGGAGACAGACACAGGTGGGTGTACAGCCTCTGTTACCATGGAGACAGACAGGTGTAGGATCCACAGAAGCCCACCTGGTGTTGTTTATTGTTTACTTTGGTGTTTGTTGACTCTGCTGCAGGCCCCTCTCAGCTCAGTGGCTACCAGCTGAGTGTCCGTGTCCTGCAGATCATCAAGGACAAGGCGTGTGTCTCTCACAGCTTACCTGTCAGCTACAGGTAACTCCCTATCACCTTCTGACACCTCTATGCTCACGGGTCATGTGACCTCCACAGGTGCTCTCCTGTCTGTCTGCAGGCTGGTGTCCGTTTCTGAGCTCCTCTCCCAGCAACACCTGGCCTGTGTCAGCAACCTGTCCTGGAGCACTAATCAGCAGCGAGAGTGGGCCAAGGAGGCGGAGCTATCTGGGGCGGGTCACAGGGCACTGCCACGTGTCAACCTGCTGCTGATTGGCTGGCTGAGAGAGGGGCGGGGCGGGGAGTGGAAGCTGGCTGACAGCAGTGGCAGTGTCAGGTGTGAGGTAAGGGGGGCGGGGCTTCAGGTACATAAGCTCATTATCGGTCAGTCTGGAAACACGGGCCGTGTTCGAGTTGAGCGGCGCCTCGCCTGGAAGACAGACGAGAGCAGACGGACGCAGCAGGGGGCGTGGCTGAAAGCCGGCGTTTGAGTCGGACAGATGTCCCTGCATGTGTAGCTCGGGGGTGACGATGGCTGAAGATATCGCGTTCGCGTTCATACGTGTTTAATTATTTATGTTAATTCTGGTGCAGCAGAAGCACACCCTCACATGCTTGTGTATATCATATATTATAGACATGTGCATATGTTTATGTTTATTTATTTATGTTTATTTATTTAGCAGACGCTTTTATCCAGAGCGACTTACAGTTTATAACCTATAGGGCATGTTGTGATGTGTGGGGGAAACCGGAGTACCCGGAGGAAACCCACACATGCATGGGGAGAACACGCAACTCCACGCAGGAAGACCGCAGCCGAGTTTCGAACCTGCAACCTTCGTGCTGCGAGGCAACAGTGCTAACCACTGCACCACCGTGCAGCCACCATATATAGACATGTTTATGTATTTAGCAGACGCTTTTGTCTAAAGCGACTTACAAGTGATAATCGGCATGTTGCCCTTGAGGCTAACAACAACAGTAACAATAACAACTTGACATCAGTCATGGAGAGGAGGGAACAAGGAGTGGACAGTAGAGAGGGGGGACGGGTGCAGGGAGGGTGCTAGTTTAGAAGATGCTCTCTGAAGAGCAGGGTCTTCAGGAGTTTCTTGAAAATTGAAAAGGAAGCTCCTGTTCTGGTAGAGCTTGGAAGGTCATTCCACATTTGTGGAACGATGCATGAGAAGAGTCTGGATTGTCCTGAGCGTGGTGTAGGCACTGCTAGCCGACCATCCTGTGATGACCGGAGCGGCCGGGCCGAGACGTAAGCCTTTGCAAGAGGATTCAGGTAGATGGGAGCCGTACCATCTCGGACTTTGTATGCTAGTGTTAGCAATTTGAATTTGATGCGTGCTGCTAGCGGTGGCCAGTGGAGCTCAATGAACAGAGGGGTGACGTGTGCTCTTTTTGGCTGATTGAAGACCAGACGCGCCGCTGCGTTCTGGACCATTTGAAGAGGTCTCACAGTCCAGCCTGGAAGACCAGTTAGAAGGGCGTTGCAGTAATGGAGGCGGGAGATGACAGTAGATTGCACCAGGAGCTGGGTGGCATGTTGTGTTAGGTATGGTCTGATCTTTCCTATGTTATACGGCGCAAAGCGGCATGAACGGGCAACAGAGGCAACATGATCTTTAAAGCTCAGGTGTTCATCAATCACAACACCCAGATTTCCAACTGCCTTTGAAGGAGCCAGAGATAGGAAGTCATTCTGGATTGAGATATTGTGCTGTATGGATGGTTTTGCTGGGATGTCAAGTAGATCAGTTTTAGAGAGGTTGAGTTGGAGATGGTGGGATTTCATCCATTCTGATATGTCAGAGAGACAGTTTGATATTCGTGCAGAGACAGTGTGGTCGTCCGGTGGAAATGACAGATAGAGCTGGGTGTCGTCTGCATAGCAGTGGTAGGAGAAGCCATGTGATCGAATGATCTCAGCCAGTGAGGTGGTGTATATGGCAAAGAGAAGAGGTCCTAGTACAGAGCCCTGGGGGACTCCTGTGGCAAGAAGAGGACTGTCCAAGCCAAGATACACTGAATGATCGTCCTGTGAGGTACGATTCAACCCAGGCGTGTGCTTTCTCTGTGATGCCCATGGTAGAGAGTGCGGACAAAAGGAAGCCATGGTTGACAGTGTCAGATGCAGCCGATAAGTTGAGCCGGATAAGCACTGAGGATCTGGCAGTCGCAGACATGACTGTAATAATATATTATAGACATGTGCCTATATAGTTGTCATCATCAACCTAACATGATGTACAGAATACACGTGACCAACTATTCTACACCGGATGTTTGGATCAAAATATGAACCAATCAGATCTTAGATCAGGTGAGAGCCAGGCGTTTCCCGTCATCCTCTAGGTTTAGCAGCCGAGGGAGAGCAACTGCAGCGCCTTGCTCCAAAGTCTCCGGCCGCCTTGATCTCTCAAGGTTATCGGTGCCTACCTAGGCGTGACATCAGAGCAAGTCGGACACAAATCTAACCGGCAAGCGCCGATCATCCAGTCGGCGCAGAACTGGCTCATCTCGAACACGGCCAGTGTGTTCAGCTCCTCCTCCCTCTGGTCTCCAGCTGTGAGAACATCTGCAGCAGGAAGTGCCCAGATATGAAGTCAGACACACCTGAGCTACTCAGGTAAATACAGGTGTGTCTACCTGAGTGGCTCAGGTGTTCAGGAAGGAAAACAGCTGCAGGAACTCACCCGCAGAACCAGATGATTCAGGTGGCGGGAGCTTTCAACAACCTCACCTGTGTGTCTCACCTGCGCGTCTTACCTGCGTGTCTCACCTGTGTGTCTCACCTGTGTGTCTCACCTGCGCGTCTCACCTGTGTGTCTCACCTGCGCGTCTCACCTGTGTGTCTCACGTGCGTGTCTCACCTGTGTGTCTCACCTGTGCATCTCACCTGCGTGTCTCACGTGCGTGTCTCACCTGTGTGTCTCACCTGTGCGTCTCACCTGTGTGTCTCACCTGCGCGTCTCACCTGTGTGTCTCACCTGTGTGTCTCACCTGTGTGTCTCACCTGCGCGTCTCACCTGTGTGTCTCACCTGCGCGTCTCACCTGTGTGTCTCACGTGCGTGTCTCACCTGTGTGTCTCACCTGTGCATCTCACCTGCGTGTCTCACGTGCGTGTCTCACCTGTGTGTCTCACCTGTGCATCTCACCTGCGTGTCTCACGTGCGTGTCTCACCTGTGCGTCTCACCTGTGCGTCTCACCTGTGTGTAGCTGGTGTCTCCGTCTCCTTTGTGGCTCGATCGTCCCGTCTTCCTGCCTCACTGGAACTACATCCCCCATGACGCCTCTGGGCAGCAGGAGGAGTCGGGGCTGGTAGAGCTGATTGGTGCTCCTGTTCTGCTTTGTGCTGAAGCTGAGCTGGGATTGGCTGCAGGAGGAGGGGCGGAGCCTGTGGGAGCTGTGGTTGTCAGCAAAGCTGCTGGGTTTCTGAAGAACAGGTGAGTCACATGACCTCCCCGCTGTGACAGCACACCTGTTTTCTGTGTGTGACCTCTGTGTGTGACAGGGTCAAAGGTCAGCGGGTGTCAGTATACGGTCAGGTGGAATCAGTGTGCCCTCTGCTGGTGGTGGCAGGAAGCACCTTCTTCTTCTTCACCCTGAAAGACGACACACACACACTTCCTGTCCTCGTAAAGGTAGGAGACCCCAGTGGCAGGAGTTTAGAATCACGCAGGAGTGTTTAACGTGTGTGTGTGTGTGTGTGTGTGTGTGTGTGTGTGTGTGTGTGTGTGTGTGTGTGTGTGTGTGTGTGTGCAGGACAGCAGGCTGTGCTGGGCTCAGTGTGTGCGTGTTGGACAGAGTGTGTGTGTGACAGCTCTGCGTGTGTGTGTGCTGCGAGGCTGGAAAGGAAACAGCGTTCTGTGTGTGACCGAGCGCTCACAACTACACACACAATACACACACCCTGATGGCGCACAGCCCGGCACACACACTCCTGCTGACTCCGCCCCCAGTCCCTCCCTGCTGGGCAACAACGAGGAGGTGGAGCCTGAGGAGGACCCTACCCAATCAGCAGTGATGATGAAGCACTCCAGAGTCATCAGCTACCAGGTGAGGGGCCTCTGATTGGCTGATGATGTGTTGTAGCCTTCACCTGTGAGCTAAGCCCCTCCCCTGTCCTCTGACAGGGCACAGTGACAGAGGTGGTGAATCAGGGGGCGGGGCTGTATGTGATTGACAGGACGGTGGGATTGTGTGTGGCCTATCAGCCGTCAGCGAGGAGGAGGCTGAGAGCAGGTGACCAGGTGGAGGTGAGTGTGCTGCGCTCTGATTGGCCGAGTCCTGCTCTGACGTGTTAACCAGGTGTTTGGATCCTGCAGCTGCACCACGTCCACTTCCTGTACCGGCCCTGTGCTGACCTCCCTCCCAGCATGCTTTGCTGCTGTCTGAGCTCCAGCTTGAGGGTCACCACCTTCAGCAGGTTGGAGGGCTGTCCTCCTCCTTCCCGCTGTCCTGGAGACGGCGTGTTGCCATGGTTACTGCTGCAGAACAGCACGGGCCCCGACCAGTACCTGTGGGTGTGTCACCTGACCTCCCAGCTGTCCAAGAGGTGAGGAGGGAGTCAGGCTGGATTCTGCTGAGCGTCCCCGACCCCTGTCCTCAGCTGGCTGTGTCCCTGTCTCTGTTGCAGCCTGGCCCCAGGTCTGCTGAAGCAGCAGTGTGTCTGTCTCCTCTCCTGGAAGCTGATGGAGACACTGTGGAGACGGAGAGGATGGGGACAAAGAGACATCTATTCTGAGATGTTGGACAAACCTCACAGCTGTCCTCTGACTCAGGTAGATGTCTTCACCGGTAGCGGTTGGGATCCTGAAGTCCGTCTGAGTCTGTGTGTCCTCCTCAGTACCGCGTGGACCCCGCCCTCCCTGAGTACATCAGCATCTCAGACCTCCTCCAGGCTCTGCAGTCCAACGTCTGGTCTCTGAAGTCTCTGCTGCCCCCTAAAGGATCCGGTCTGACCAGGACTCAGATCAACTCAGCGCTGTCCTGGTCCTGCAGGACGCTGTCTTCTGACCCTCAGACAGGAGACAGTCTCAGGTAAACCCTCACCTGCTCAGGTAAACGTCTAGTGACACAGAAGTAGACTTTGATGTGCTGTTAGGCCCCACCCCCTGTGGCTAATGAGCGTGTTTATAGTAACCCTATATGTATTGCTAGGCCCCGCCCCCTGTAGCTAGTAGGCGTGTCTATTGTATCTCTGGCTGTGTTCGATGAGCCAGTTCTGCACAGAGTAGACCAGCGGCGATCGGCGAGCGGTGCATGCCGGTTAGATTTGTGTCTGACTTGCTCTGACGTCATGCATACGTAGGCAACGATAACCTCGTGAGATCAAGGCGGCCGCAGATTTTGGAGCAAGGCGCTGCAGTTGCTCTCCCTCGGCTGCAAAACCTAGAGGATGACGGGAAACGCCTGGCTCTCACCTGATCTAAGATCTGATTGGTTCACATGTTGATCCAAACATCCGGTGGTAGAACATGAAATGTTAGTTGGTCACATGTATTCTATAAATCATGTTATGTTGATGATGACAACTATATAGGCCATAAAGAGAAATGTGTTTTGTGTTCTTTTGTCACGTTTCCTATGAGCACACTGAAGCTACAGCTGATAACCTTTACTTATTATTACAGTCATGTCTCCATATACAATATATGATATCCACAAGCACGTGAGGATGTTTCAGCTGCTAACAGGCACCAGAATTAAAATAAAACATTAAACAAGTATGAACGCTAACGCGATATCTTCAGCCATCGTCACCCCCGAGCTACACATGCAGGGAAATCTGTCCGATTTAAACGCCGGCTTTCAGCCACGCCCCCTGCTGCTTCCGTCTGCTCTCGTCTGTTTTCCAGGCGAGGCGCAGCTCAACTCGAACAAGCCCTCTCTCTTTATTGCTAGCCCCGCCCCTTGCTGCTAGTGGGCGTGCCTATAATAACTGTCTTTGTTGCTAAGCCCCGCCCCTTGCTGCTAGTGGGCGTGCCTATAATAACTGTCTTTGTTGCTAAGCCCCGCCCCTTGCTGCTAGTGGGTGTGATATAATAACCCTATTTATTGCTAGCCCCGCCCCTTGCTGCTAGTGGGCGTGTCTATAATAACTCTTTGTTGCTAGGCCCCGCCCTTTGCTGCTAGTGGGCGTGTCTATAATAACTCTCTCTTTGTTGCTAGGCCCCGCCCTTTGCTGCTAGTGGGCGTGTCTATAATAACTCTCTCTTTGTTGCTAGGCCCCGCCCCTTGCTGCTAGTGGGCGTGTCTATAATAACTCTCTCTTTGTTGCTAGGCCCTACCCCTTGCTGCTAGTGGGCGTGTCTATAATAACTCTTTGTTGCTAGGCCCCGCCCCTTGCTGCTAGTGGGCGTGTCTATAATAACTCTCTCTTTGTTGCTAGGCCCCGCCCTTTGCTGCTAGTGGGCGTGTCTATAATAACTCTCTCTTTGTTGCTAGGCCCCGCCCCTTGCTGCTAGTGGGCGTGTCTATAATAACTCTCTCTTTGTTGCTAGGCCCCGCCCCTTGCTGCTAGTGGGCGTGTCTATAATAACTCTCTCTTTGTTGCTAGGCCCTACCCCTTGCTGCTAGTGGGCGTGTCTATAATAACTCTCTTTGTTGCTAGGCCCCGCCCCTTGCTGCTAGTGGGCGTGCTCCAGCTTCCCTCCCTGACGTCTGAATTCAGTCAAACTTTGCAGCTCAGGGATGCTACTGGAGCTGTGTGCTGTGTCGTCACGGAAACCAGTAAGGAGGATACGGGACGTCAGACGGCTTCCTTCAACACTGCTTGGATAGGTATACACACACACACACACACACACACACACACACACACACACACACACACACACACACACACACACACACACCTAACCTGGCTCTAGGAACACAGAGCTAGTGTGTGTCTGTGTTTCAGGATGTCTGGTGTGTGTTCGTCAGTTCACCATGGTAACAGAGAGAGCCCTCCAATCAGATTTCCCTTCCTATCAACATCTGGATGAGGACAAGTTCATCACATTCAGAAGCTACAGGTAGGTACACACACACACCACCAAACTGAGGACATCAGTACCAAACTGAGGACATCAGTACCAAACTGAGGACATCAGTACCAAACTGAGGACATCAGTACCAAACTGAGGACATCAGTACCAAACTGAGGACATCAGTACCAAACCGAGGACATCAGTACCAAACCAAGGACATCAGTACCAAACCGAGGACATCAGTACCAAACTGAGGACATCAGTACCAAACTGAAGACATCAGTACCAAACTTAAGACATCAGTACCAAACCGAGCACATCCGTACCAAACTGAGGACATCAGTACCAAACTGAAGACATCAGTACCAAACTTAAGACATCAGTACCAAACTTAAGACATCAGTACCAAACTGAGGACATCAGTACCAAACTGAGGACATCAGTACCAAACTGAGGACATCAGTACCAAACTGAGGACTTCAGTACCAAACTTAAGACATCAGTACCAAACTGAGGACATCAGTACCAAACTGAGGACATCAGTACCAAACTTAAGACATCAGTACCAAACTTAAGACATCAGTACCAAACTTAAGACATCAGTACCAAACTGAGGACATCAGTACCAAACTTAAGACATCAGTACCAAACTTAAGACATCAGTACCAAACTTAAGACATCAGTACCAAACTTAAGACATCAGTACCAAACTTAAGACATCAGTACCAAACTGAGGACATCAGTACCAAACTGAGGACATCAGTACCAAACTTAAGACATCAGTACCAAACTTAAGACATCAGTACCAAACTTAAGACATCAGTACCAAACTGAGGACATCAGTACCAAACTTAAGACATCAGTACCAAACTGAGGACATCAGTACCAAACTTAAGACATCAGTACCAAACTGAGGACATCAGTACCAAACTTAAGACATCAGTACCAAACTTAAGACATCAGTACCAAACTGAGGACTTCAGTACCAAACTTAAGACATCAGTACCAAACTGAGGACATCAGTACCAAACTGAGGACATCAGTACCAAACTGAAGACTTCAGTACCAAACTGAGGACATCAGTACCAAACTTAAGACATCAGTACCAAACTTAAGACATCAGTACCAAACTGAGGACTTCAGTACCAAACTTAAGACATCAGTACCAAACTGAGGACATCAGTACCAAACTGAGGACATCAGTACCAAACTGAGGACATAAGTACCAAACTGAAGACATCAGTACCAAACTGAGGACATCAGTACCAAACTTAAGACATCAGTACCAAACTTAAGACATCAGTACCAAACTGAGGACATCAGTACCAAACTTAAGACATCAGTACCAAACTTAAGACATCAGTACCAAACTGAGGACTTCAGTACCAAACTTAAGACATCAGTACCAAACTGAGGACATCAGTACCAAACTGAGGACATCAGTACCAAACTTAAGACATCAGTACCAAACTTAAGACATCAGTACCAAACTGAGGACATCAGTACCAAACTTAAGACATCAGTACCAAACTGAGGACATCAGTACCAAACTTAAGACATCAGTACCAAACTTAAGACATCAGTACCAAACTGAGGACATCAGTACCAAACTTAAGACATCAGTACCAAACTGAGGACATCAGTACCAAACTTAAGACATCAGTACCAAACTGAAGACATCAGTACCAAACTGAAGACATCAGTACCAAACTGAGGACTTCAGTACCAAACTTAAGACATCAGTACCAAACTGAGGACTTCAGTACCAAACTTAAGACATCAGTACCAAACTGAGGACATCAGTACCAAACTGAGGACATCAGTACCAAACTTAAGACATCAGTACCAAACTTAAGACATCAGTACCAAACTGAGGACATCAGTACCAAACTTAAGACATCAGTACCAAACTGAGGACATCAGTACCAAACTTAAGACATCAGTACCAAACTTAAGACATCAGTACCAAACTTAAGACATCAGTACCAAACTGAGGACATCAGTACCAAACTTAAGACATCAGTACCAAACTGAGGACATCAGTACCAAACTTAAGACATCAGTACCAAACTGAAGACATCAGTACCAAACTGAAGACATCAGTACCAAACTGAGGACTTCAGTACCAAACTGAGGACTTCAATACCAAACTGAAGACATCAGTACCAAACTGAAGACATCAGTACCAAACTTAAGACATCAGTACCAAACTTAAGACATCAGTACCAAACCGAGGACATCAGTACCAAACCGAGGACATCAGTACCCAACCGAGGACATCAGTACCAAACCGAGGACATCAGTACCAAACTGAAGACATCAGTACCAAACTGAGGACTTCAGTACCAAACTTAAGACATCAGTACCAAACTTAAGACATCAGTACCAAACCGAGGACATCAGTACCAAACCGAGGACATCAGTACAAAACTGAGGACATCAGTACCAAACTGAAGACATCAGTACCAAACTGAGGACTTCAGTACCAAACTTAAGACATCAGTACCAAACTGAGGACATCAGTACCAAACTTAAGACATCAGTACCAAAGTGATGACATCATTACCAAACTGAAGACTTCAGTACCAAACTGAGGACATCAGTACCAAACTGAGGACATCAGTACCAAACTGAGGGTATCAGTACCAAACTGAAGACATCAGTACCAAACTGAGGACTTCAGTACCAAACTGAAGACATCAGTACCAAACTTAAGACATCAGTACCAAACTGAAGACATCAGTACCAAACTGAGGACTTCAGTACCAAACTGAAGACATCAGTACCAAACTGAGGACATCAGTACCAAACTGAGGACATCAGTACCAAACTGAGGACATCAGTACCAAACTGAGGACTTCAATACCAAACTGAAGACATCAGTACCAAACTGAAGACATCAGTACCAAACTTAAGACATCAGTACCAAACCGAGGACATCAGTACCAAACCGAGGACATCAGTACCCAACCGAGGACATCAGTACCAAACCGAGGACATCAGTACCAAACTGAAGACATCAGTACCAAACTGAGGACTTCAGTACCAAACTTAAGACATCAGTACCAAACTTAAGACATCAGTACCAAACCGAGGACATCAGTACCAAACCGAGGACATCAGTACCCAACTGAGGACATCAGTACCAAACTGAGGACATCAGTACCAAACTGAAGACATCAGTACCAAACTGAAGACATCAGTACCAAACTGAGGACTTCAGTACCAAACTTAAGACATCAGTACCAAACTGAGGACATCAGTACCAAACTTAAGACATCAGTACCAAAGTGATGACATCATTACCAAACTGAAGACTTCAGTACCAAACTGAGGACATCAGTACCAAACTGAGGACATCAGTACCAAACTGAGGATATCAGTACCAAACTGAAGACATCAGTACCAAACTGAGGACTTCAGTACCAAACTGAAGACATCAGTACCAAACTTAAGACATCAGTACCAAACTGAAGACATCAGTACCAAACTGAGGACTTCAGTACCAAACTGAAGACATCAGTACCAAACTGAGGACATCAGTACCAAACTGAGGACATCAGTACCAAACTGAGGACATCAGTACCAAACTGAGGACTTCAATACCAAACTGAAGACATCAGTACCAAACTGAAGACATCAGTACCAAACTGAAGACATCAGTACCAAACTTAAGACATCAGTACCAAACCGAGGACATCAGTACCAAACCGAGGACATCAGTACCAAACTGAGGACTTCAGTACCAAACTGAAGACATCAGTACCAAACTTAAGACATCAGTACCAAACTGAAGACATCAGTACCAAACTGAGGACTTCAGTACCAAACTGAAGACATCAGTACCAAACTGAGGACATCAGTACCAAACTGAGGACATCAGTACCAAACCGAGGACATCAGTACCAAACCGAGGACATCAGTACCAAACCGAGGACATCAGTACCAAACTGAGGACTTCAGTACCAAACTGAAGACATCAGTACCAAACTGAAGACATCAGTACCAAACTGAGGACTTCAGTACCAAACTGAAGACATCAGTACCAAACTTAAGACATCAGTACCAAACTGAAGACATCAGTACCAAACTGAGGACTTCAGTACCAAACTGAAGACATCAGTACCAAACTGAGGACATCAGTACCAAACTGAGGACATCAGTACCAAACTGAGGACATCAGTACCAAACTGAGGACATCAGTACCAAACTGAGGACTTCAATACCAAACTGAAGACATCAGTACCAAACTGAAGACATCAGTACCAAACTGAAGACATCAGTACCAAACTGAGGACTTCAGTACCAAACTTAAGACATCAGTACCAAACCGAGGACATCAGTACCAAACCGAGGACATCAGTACCCAACCGAGGACATCAGTACCAAACCGAGGACATCAGTACCAAACTGAAGACATCAGTACCAAACTGAAGACATCAGTACCAAACTGAAGACATCAGTACCAAACTTAAGACATCAGTACCAAACTTAAGACATCAGTACCAAACCGAGGACATCAGTACCAAACCGAGGACATCAGTACCCAACCGAGGACATCAGTACCAAACCGAGGACATCAGTACCAAACTGAAGACATCAGTACCAAACTGAAGACATCAGTACCAAACTGAAGACATCAGTACCAAACTGAGGACTTCAGTACCAAACTTAAGACATCAGTACCAAACTGAGGACATCAGTACCAAACTTAAGACATCAGTACCAAACTGAGGACATCAGTACCAAACTTAAGACATCAGTACCAAAGTGATGACATCATTACCAAACTGAAGACTTCAGTACCAAACTGAGGAATTCAGTACCAAACTGAAGACATCAGTACCAAACTGAGGACATCAGTACCAAACTGAGGACATCAGTACCAAACTGAGGATATCAGTACCAAACTGAAGACATCAGTACCAAACTGAGGACTTCAGTACCAAACTGAAGACATCAGTACCAAACTTAAGACATCAGTACCAAACTGAAGACATCAGTACCAAACTGAGGACTTCAGTACCAAACTGAAGACATCAGTA